CTTCACTGGCCCAAGTTGGCACCATCATCGCGCTCTTCCCGGGCGAGGCAGATCAGTCGCCAGCTTCCGGACAGCCGCTCATAGCAGCTGCTGGCCACTCACGCGGGCTGCTGGCTACACATGGTAGCTCATGGCAACCCACTGCAGCAGGGGTTGCAGCCTACACCATCGCCGGCGACTCACGGCAGCCCAGCTCCAGGTCGAGCTGTCGCCCAGCATCTTAGCTGTAGAGGGCAGTGTCACTGGCCCTCACAGGTGGGATCCGAACCAGGGCCCTCTGGTGTCCTAAGCCAGTTCTTAACCAATGCGCCACTTGGCCAGCCCCCCAGTGTAGTTTTTTTGTAAGTTATATTAGAGTGTGTAACATATTGAAGTGCACAGATCGTAAGTGTATAGCTCAGTCATTCTTTGCAAAGTTAACACGTCAAGAAACAGACTACTTCCAGTACCCCACATGCCTTCTGTGCCCTTTCTAGTCATACCCACCCCCAAGAGTAACTTTTATCCTTATTTTTATTTTATTTATTTATATTTCATGTTTGACCTAAATCTGGTTTTTTAAAAAAGATTTATATTAAAATATAGCTAACATACAATATTTTATTACTTTCAGGTGTACACAGTAGTTATTCAACATTTATATACCTAAAGAAATGATCACTATGATATAAGCCCAGCAACCATCTGACACCATACCACACTATCACAATATTATTATTCTTTTTAACACCATACATTAGTTTTCCTTATTTTTAAAGTTAGTAGGTAGTCATTTGTGTCTAGCTATTTGTGAGAATCATCCATGTTGTTAACGTACATTTATAGTCCCTTCATCCTCATTTCTGTGTATTATTCCATTACATGCCACAGTCTAGCCATTCTGTTGTGGATGGACATTTGGTTTGTTTCTAGTTTCTGGCTATTAAGTATTCTATTGCAATATGGAACTGTTCTCTGTCATTACTGTGGTGGTCGATACATGCCTTTATGTATTTTTAAAACCCTAGACCTGTACACCACAAAGAATGAATTTTTCTCTTTGTAAATTAAAAATATGTAAGAAAAAAGAAAAGTGCTGCTTTGAACATTTTTGTACATTACCTCTTGTACATACCTGGTGAACATATGTATACATTTGTGTTTTGTATGTACCTAGCAGTAGAGTTGCAGGGTCATAGGCTGTGCATATGTTCTGTTTCAATAGATACTGCTAGAATGTTTTTCAAAACACTTATACCATTTTCTCCACCAGCAGTGCATGAGTTACAGTTGCTAGCACTTAGTAATGTCTATCTTTTTATTTTAGCCATTCTGATAGGTGTGTAGTTTTATCACATTATGATTTTAATTTGCATTTTCCTGGTGATTGGTTTATTGGAATTTTACATATCCTCTTTCATAAAGCATTGATGTGTTTTGCCCATATATCTTTTGGGTTGTTTGTCTTTTTCTTATTAATTTGGAGTTCTTTATTTTAGAAACAAGTCCTTGATTATATACATTTATTACAGCTATCTTCTCCTACTTCATGGGTTCACTATCACTCCTTTTTTTTTTTTTAAATTTTATTGGGGAATTGGGGGAGGGGAACAAACATGTTGCTGTCCTTTTGTTCTTCAGTCTAGTTGTGGAGGATGTCGCTTTACTGGCTCATGTTGGTATTATCATTGCGCTCTTCCTGGGTGAAGCAGTCGCTTGCCGGCCACTGGACGGCCGCTCATGGCAGCTCATGAAAGCTCATGCCAGCTGCCTGCCAGCCTTACTGCAGCCTACGCCATCGTTGGCTACTTGGGGCAGCCCAGCTCCAGGTGGAGCTGTTGTTCACCATCTTAGCTGTAGAGGGCGCAGCATCACTGGCCCTCATGTGTGGGTCGTGCTGCTCAGAGCTGGCATCCCAAACCAACTCCTAACCAACGTGCCACTTGGCTGGCCCCACTATCACTCTTAATGTTGTTTTCTGGTTGAGTAGAAATTGTTAATTCTAATGTAGTCTAGTATATCTAACCTATTTTTCCCTTTATGGTTGACACGTTTTATGTCTTGTTTAAGGAATCTTTTTCTATCCTAAGCCATGAATATATTCTCCTGTGTTTTCTTATAAAAGCTTTATTGTTTGACCTTTTACATTTAGATCTCAATCAATCTTGAAACTGATTTTTTTGTTTGTTTGTTTGATGTAAGATGGGGTTAATATTTTTGTTCTCTATGGATTTCCCCAAGTTGACCATGCACCATTATTGAAAAGACCATCTTTCATCTTTCCCTACTACAATGTCACCTTTGTCTTAAATCAGGTGACTCTCAGTGTAATTTTGATTTATGAGTGAAGTTGAACATCATTTTTGTTTAATACCTATTTACATTTATTTTCCTGTGAATGGTGGACACTTTGTCCCATTTTTATTGAGCTGTTCATCTTTTTTTTTTCCAGTTTTTTGAAGCCCTTTGTGATATAAATTGAAAATATACATATACAGTTGACCCTTGAACAACACAGATTTGAATGGCACAGGTTCACTTATACATGGATTTTTTGTTCAATAAATATGTCCTGTAAATGTGATTTCTATTCCTTATGGTTTTCTTTTTTTTTTTTTTTTAAGATTTTTATTGGGGAATTAGGGGAAAGGGAACAGACAAGTTGCTGTCCTTTTGTTCTTCAGTCTAGTTGTGAAAGACGTTGCTTCACTGGCCCAAGTTGGCACCATCATTGCGCTCTTCCTGGCCAAGGCAGATCAGTCGCTGGCTTCTGGACGGCCGCTCACTGTCGGTTGCTGGCCACTCACGCTGGCTGCTGGCTACACACAGTAGTCCATGGCAGCCCACTGCAGCAGGGGCTGCAGCCTACGCGGTTGCTGGCGACCCATGGCAGCCCAGCTCCAGGTTGAGATGTTGTTCAACATCTTAGCTGCAGAGGGCAGTGTCACTAGCCCTCATATGTGGGATCTGAACTGGGGCCCTCTGGCGTCCCAAGCCAGTTCTTAACCAATGTGCCACTCGGCCAGCCCTCCTTGTGGTTTTCTTAATAACAACATTTTCTTTTGTCTAGTTTACTTTATTGTAAGAATACAGTATGTAATACATATTACATACAAAGTATGTGTTAATCAACTGCTTATGTCATTGGCAAAACTTCCAATAATAAAGGCTCTTGGTAGGTAAGTTTTGGGGGAGTTGAAAGTTATACATGGATTTGTGACTGTATAGTGGGGTGGTGAGGGTCAGTGTTCTTCACCCCTGCGTTGTTCAAGGGTCGACTGTTTATGTTTATTTTAGTTTATTATTTCCAGACCTTCTTTTCATCTGTTGTAATGAGGATTCATTTCATGTACAGGTCAAGAATGTCTGTTTTCTACATCCAGAAGCCCTTTCGGATGGCCTTCATTCCTCTCCTTTGCCATTTTTGGCCTCTCACTGCGGACGTACAGCTCTGCTCTTTGGGATGTATTAGATGGGGTCAGGGTGGGACTGTTCTTGGTTAGATTTCACGGTATTATACCTCTTGCTCACTTTCTGTTCTTTCCTCTTTCCGCTACCTATGCAGAGTATGCTCTGCTTGAAGATTTTATGGAAACCTAGTGTTTTCTGTAGTGATACCGCCCCTCATAGAAAATATTTATATATTTATTCAGGTAGCTTGTGGACTGTAAAAAGATGCTTCAATTTATTCTTTCTAATAGGAAGGAGATTATTTCCAGGTAAACTCTTTTCCTTTTAGTCCATTCTTTTTAAAAAATCCCATTAAAAAGAGTACCGTGTCATACAATTTTTTTAGAAATTTAAAATTGTAAGAAAGTAGAAATGGGAGGAGAGAAATAAAGAAAAAGAAATCATCCACAGCTCTAGCATGCGAAGATGGGCATTGTTTGTAATTAGTTCTGTCTGATGTCTTCAGTATAAAGAGTGTATGTGCGTGGTCTCACGTGATTCTGAACATGGATCTGCCTCATTTGTTGTAGTGAATATGGCTTTGCCGAGAAGGTTGTGGAGGGGATGTTCATCGTTGTCAATTCTATCACCATCAAGATTCACTCCAAGGCCTTCCACGCTTCTTTTGAATTGTGGCAGCTCCAGGGCTACAGTGTTAACCCCAACTGGCAGCAGAGTGACCTCCGTCTCACGCGCATCACTGACCCCCGCCGAGGAGAGGTGACAGCTGTAGCATTGCAAGAGGAGAGAATTGGGGGATTCAAAGTAGGACTAATTCTTAAAGGATGTTATTGCTCCTTTGGGGATTTCCTCAAATGGTGCCCTATTCCTGGGAAGCCCAGGATCCCTTCTGTCCAGTGTTACTGCTACATCCTTTCCTCAGTTATGGTTCTCTGATCCACTGCCTTCCATGGGTAGAATCCTAACTGAGAATGGTGGGAGGCTCTGCCTTGCCAGTCTTTTCCCCTTGGACTTCCTGCCTCTTGGTTAATTTCATCCACAGGATTAAGGGATTTTATTCACTCTCCTTCCAGGTTTTAACATTTAAGGAAATAACTTGGCAGACACTTCGGATTGAGGCAGATGCGACAGACAGTGGAGATCAGGACCCGGTCACCACCCCACTGAGGCTTATTACCAACCAAGGCAGGATCCAAATAGCCCTCAAGAGAAGAGTGAGTGTGTTCTCTGTCCTCGGGAGAACTTCCATCTTCTATTCTCTTAGACCTCCTGGGAGTGGGTGTACCCTCTTTTAAATAAAAATGTTATTGCCCTCTAGAATGGCAGTTGAAAGGGGAGGGCCTGCAATTCAGTATTGCACAGTATCCACCAATAAGAGAACATTTCCATTTCCTTATCCTCTTTTGGAAACCAGAATTTTTACCTATGTATTACTAACATAGGCATCTGGAAGTGGTCTATTGCTGCTTTAGTAGTTTTAAGAAATTGACTCTCCCAAGTGCTTTATACTTTCCTTTCATGTACTGGGGATTGAAAATCCATCTCTGAAATTAACTGCGTGACAGTCACTTTGAAGAGTTGGAATGATGCAAGATGTTGAACCTATGTGGTGTGTGGCCCCTTCAGACCAAAGATTGCAATGTGGTGGCCTCCAAGCTGATGTTCCTGTTGGATGACCTGCTCTGGGTGCTGACTGACTCGCAACTCAAGGCTATGATGAAGTATGCAGAGTCACTGAGCGAGGCCATGGAGAAGTCATCCCAGCAGAGAAAGAGCCTGGCCCCTGAACCGATACAGGTTAGAGGCAAAACAGGTACCCTTGGTGGAGCTGGGGAGATGGTAGGCCAGACCTAATTCATACCAACATGGGTGGGGTATAGACTTTATTTGGCTTATTTGGGGGACTTGTCATTTACTTCTGAATGTGCATAGGCTTTGCCTGGGCCTCTGATTTCTTCATTTATTCTGTTCATTGGGTGCTTCCAGTGTGTTAGGTATACAGTGCTAGCCACTGGAGAGGAAAAACAGAATAGCTTCTTGCAGCTGTCCTTGGAGCTCTCACTATTTTGAAATCTGGACTATAAACAAGTTCTGATGATATGATGTAATAAGTGCTATAGCAGAGGTAAACACTGTGGTGTGAGAGCACAGAGATGGGCATCCAACCACCCGGGCTGAAAGAGTGCATTTAGGGCAGACTCCCTGAGGAGGTGTCAGCTAAGTCCTGGGGAGGAAGAGCTTGGGGGGCAATTCAGATTTCAGAACAGTACTCTGATGTTACTAGACGCATTATAATTAGGGTTTTTGGAATTTGGGTTATTTACGTGGGAGCATCTTGCTAAACTGTGGTTTTCTTCAGGCTAGACTGAAGCTTTGAAAAAGCCTGCAAAGGAGTCTCTCAGGGTCTGGACTTCCTGTTTTTCTCTGTCACATGTAGATCACCCCACCTGCTCCCAGTGCTCAGCAGTCCTGGGCCCAGGCGTTTGGTGGCAGCCAGGGCAGCAGCAGCAATAGCAGCAACCGCCTCAGCCAGTACTTTGAGAACTTCGATGTGAAAGAGTCCTCCTACCATCTGCTCATCTCCCGCCTGGACCTGCACATTTGTGATGACAGCCAGTCCCGAGAGCCAGGTAGCTCATGAGGCCTGAGCCTGGGCTGGGTGGTCCATCAGTGCCTTCAACTCTGGGCGAAGTGTGGGAGGAAGGCTCTTTCCAGCGCCTGTGGAGTACTTGGGCTGGCTTCCCTGGATCACAGGCATTCCTCGAGCCCCGGCCTTCCTGTGGTAGCTCTCTTTCTGTTAGCGTCAGCAGTGCTGTTCAGCCTTCAGGGAACAACAGAGCCGCCTGTAACACTTAATAAAACACAGATGCCGAGGCTCTCCCCTCCCCCACTGAAGTCAGAATCTTCAAGGGTAGAGCCCATGCAGTGCATACTTTTTATTTTTCTCTGTGAGTCCCTTGGGGAACGGTGACAACTGGTGTGTTAGGAAAGTAAGTGCAACTTTAGGAAACCTCAGAATTTTCATATTTTTGAGTCAATTTAAATAATTATTATGTGTAAATGTGCTCTTCCCAAACAGAGAGGTTATGCTGTGTTCTTGTGTTGCTTTTATGTTCGTTAGAGCAATTGATACTCCATACACTTATATGTTTATTCAGAATGGAAAAGTAATTAACTCATTTCTTTCCTTTATGAGCCTTGGGGAAATCATATAACTGCTTGCTTAACCTCTTGGAGTTTCTTTATTTGTGAATTTGAATTAAGTTATATCTTGTTTACCTCACAGGTTGTTGTCAGGCTCAAATGAGATAATATACTGAATTCTGAGGACCTTAACTATAGGCAGATATTAAGTATTATTATTCTGATGTCTGTTTTTTCAATACTCTGTCTGTTTTCCATGTATGCTTCCCTTTGCCGCAAGCTCTTGATTTTATAATACATGCTCTCATATGGTAGATTTGTCTCTCGCTGCCTTATCCTCTCTGAAGGTTTTGTTTGCCTCTTTTTTTTTGTTTTGAATTTTATTGGGGAACAGCCATGGTCCTTGGTTACACATTGCTTTCATGCTACAATGGCATAGTTGACTCTTTTTTAAGGAGGGCACAGCTCACAGTGGCCCATGCGGGGATCGAGCCAGCAACCTTGGTGTTAATCAGCACCACGCTCTAACCAACTGACCTAACAGGTCACCCCCATGTTTATCTCTTAATGAGACCTAGACTAACTTTCCTTGGGTGGGGGAACCTACCTTTTCTTTTCCTCCTGGGGTACTAAGTAGCATTGCCTTTCTTGCCTGGCTATTCCTTGGTCTTAAGGTGACTTCAGCCCCCCTCTCCTCCCACTCAGAGAGCTGAAGGGAACAGTGACAGGATAAAGATTGTTTTTGCAACCATAGGATGCTCACTGGTTTGCCACCCATTCATGTTGGAAGTTCTTTGTTAAAATGATTATTATTTTGTTTGTGGTTGTTTCTTCCAAGTGTTACTATAAAGGCTCTGTTTTTTTTTTAGTTCTCTCAGAAGCCTTTATTAAGAGTACATTATTGAGAATTTCATCCTCTTGCTTGATGAGGGGTGTGAAGTACTGTCCTCTTCAAGTGGCAGGGTCCTGTAATCCACACTATGATGTGACTGTAGCCGTCCCTGCAACCCTTGTTTTATTAAACAAAATTAATCTACTTGGCGAAACTGAATGGAAGTTTTCGATGTGATGTCTTTAGATGGGGATAACTCCTAGCCTACCATCCCCAGGTGAGGTATATGATACTAAAAGAGCAAGGAACAGGAAGAGCTCTTGTCACTTTGACTCTTCTTCTTGGGTTTTGGGAGAATGGGGAAGAGAGAACCAGGTGGTGCCGAAAGGGCTTTCAGATTCTCTGGAGTTGTTCTGTCCACTATGGTAGCCACTAGTCACATGTGACTATTGGACACTTGAAATGTTGGCTGGCCCAAATTGAGATTGCTGCAAGTGTAATATACACACAGGATTTCAAAGATATAGTGCAAAAATATAGTGTAGAATACCTTGATAATTATTTTTACATTGATTACATGTTGAAAGGGTAATATTTTGGGGATATGGGTTTAAATAATATGTATTATTAAAATTAATTTCATTAAAAAACCTTTTAATGTGGCTACTAGAAAATTTAAACTTAGTTATTGGCTCACATTATATATATATATATTTTAAAGACCTTCATTGGGGAATTGGGGGGATGGGAACAGTGCTGGGGAATTGGGGTAAGGGGAACAGACAAGTTGCTGTCGTTTTTTTGCTCTTCAGTCTAGTTGTGGAGGACGTTGCTTCACTGGCCCAAGTTGGCACCATCATTGTGCTCTTCCCGGGAGAGGCAGATCAGCCGCCGGCCTCTGGACGGCCGCTCACGCTGGCTGCTGGCTACATACAGTAGCCCATGTCAACCCACTGCCACAGGGGATGCAGCCCACGCCGTCGCCGGCGACCCACAGCAGCCCAGCTCCAGGTCAAGCTGCTGTTCAGCATCCCAGCTGCGGAGGGCAGCGTCACTGGCCCTCACATGTGGGATCCGAACCGGGGCCCCCCGGCATCCCAAGCCAGCTCCTAACCATCGCGCCACTCGGCCGACCCTCACATTATATTTTAATGGGTAGTATTGCTTTACAACTCTGTCCAGTATGGTAGCCACTAGCCACATGTGGCTATTTAAATTAAAATTATACTCAATTAAATGAGTTCCTCATTTCTACCAGCCACATTTCAAGTACTCAGTATAATCCCGTGGTATTTCCCTTCACCCTAGTAAAGGAGGGGCGGAAGTGCAGAGCAGGGTAGGTCAGACATTACATAAATGTATTTAGAAGAATAGTCCCTACTCTTATAGTTCTTAGAGTCTAGTTGGAGAGATAAGATGGAAACACGGAAAATTCATTCATTCAGTAAGAATTTCATGTAAATTCAAGATAAACATAATACAATATTTGACTTATTGCTAAAAGTTCCAACTTACCTACAATATTCTATATGTTTATTTTACAGTGTTCTTGTTAGTGCAGTATTTTTTGTATTCTATGGTATTTTGTATGTATAGTATATAATGCTTGTCTAATATCACAGCTTTTACTCTGAGGCATGGATATGAAAGGAAATAATACGGGCCCTGATTTTTGGGGAACCTGGCTTATGCCTCTCCAGGTGTTGTGCTGTACTGTGCAGCAATACAAGTATTGTCAGGATGGGGGACCCAATCAATCAAGATTGTAGAATGTGTCTGTGGGAGACCTAGGATTAGAATTCCTAAATCCTGAGTTTTACAGTTTCGTTTGCCTCCCTGGAAATCTGGCAGTCATTTTCAGAGACAGTAGAATACATGTTTTTTATCTTTCAGAGCATGTCTATTGACTGTTGCAACTTGAAAGATGAGGGTCTCGGTTTTGCAAATCACCTGACATCATGGTCTTTCAGATGAACTGTGTATCAGACCCTCAAGGGACTTTTAATGCTTCAGGTGGTGTGTAGGCTTCTTTGTTCCTTCTGCTGCTAATTCACCTTTATTTTTCTTTTATAGGTGTCTCTGCAAATAGACTCATGGGTGGTGCCATGCAGCTTACCTTCCGCAAGATGGCATTTGACTATTACCCCTTCCACTGGGCAGGTAGGAGATTTCTGAACTGGCTCAGGTATTGAGAGCAGATTCCTGGGTTCACCCCTGACTGCCCAACAGGAAGGTGCGAGGGGTTGCAGAACATGGGGTAGTGGAAATAGCCCTCTTCAAGAGGACGTCTTCTGGAAACTTTCAGGGTTCATTACTGATGATTCTTTATCAGTGATGAGAGGAAGTAGGGAGGAAAGGCAGTACCTGAGGTGTTGCTTTTGACTCTGCCCTTTGCCCCTTATTTCCACGGGATTTAGAACCTCTCCAGTAGTCCATAGTCAAAGATGGCAGCTGTCAGCAGCTGGTCTTCAGGAGCCTCAGGGAAACATTACGAATGGAATCCAGAAGAACTTGAGTGCTCTCACTGGATACTTTGTACTTATTCCAGAGAATTCTGGATTGTGGCCGAGGGATCAGATTCTGAACTATGACTATACTAGTGGGAAGGAAAAATTGGAACACTGGATCATGATCTTGGACTAAAATTTTTTTGCTTCTATGTTGCACAGGCGATAGCTGTAAACACTGGGTACGGCACTGTGAGGCCATGGAGACCCGAGGCCAGTGGGCCCAGAAACTGGTGATGGAATTTCAGAGTAAAATGGAGAAGTGGCATGAGGAGACAGGTCTGCAGCCTCCCTGGCACCTGGGGATAGACTCTCCCTTCCGGAGGAAAGCAGGTAGGTTATGAGGAGCTGGAGGACTCCCATTGCTTAACCTCTTGGCATTTACCTTTGACTATCCAGTGGAGGTGAAGCACTGGACTAGCTTATCATCCCAACTTATCCCTAGCTAATTAATTATTGCAATCTTATCCCATGGAGAGTCATCAGACTTTTTTCTTTCCAGAGTCCTGTTAGTCCCCAGGGATAGCTGCAATGTTGAAGAGAGGTTGTCATCACCTCTATTCAGTAGGCTGTTCCCTTGGTCTTAAGGCAAATATAATTTTTGAGTTCCATCCAGGAGCTAGGCAGTGTTAAGCTCTCTTTCCTACATATAGCATTAATGATCTTAGGATTTTTACTTCCTAATTCTATTAATAATGGGAGTTGAATGTGTCTGATTCTCTTCCTTGCCTTCTTTTTATTTAGATTCCCTCTCCAGTCCTCGAAAGAAGCCCCTTGAGAGAAGCCCCTCTCAGGGCCGACAGGCTGCCTTCCGGCCTCCAGCATGGAACCGCTTACGCTCTAGCTGCATGGTAATACGGGTGGATGACTTGGACATCCACCAGGTGAGGAGCCCAGGACATGGCGGGGGGGACGTGGTCAGAAAGGGCTGGGGTAGTTCATTTGGAAGGCAACAATGTGAACAAAATTGTGGAATTTGGGGCTGTTTCCCTTATTCCTGGTCAAACTTGTCTGTTTCTCTCTCTGTCTCTTTTTAAAAAAATTTTTTTAAAAAGATTTCTATTAAAATATAGCTAACATACAATATTATATTAGTTTCAGGGGTACACAATAGTTATTCAACATTTATATACCTAAAGAAGTGACCACCATAAGCCCAGCAAGCATCTGACACTATACCATGCTATCACAATATTATTGACTATATTCCTTATACTGTACATAACATCCCCATGACTTATTTGTTTTATATCTGGACGCCTGTTTCTTTCTGAGCAGGTTGCTGAGATCAGAACTTGGGATTCCCCTATTTTCCTCTGAATACCCTACTCCAAAGCTTCTGTTGAAAAAACGAACTTGTGGATAGTGTTAGGCAGGTGTGAGAACACCTGGAACACGTGTAAAAGCGTTATGCTCTCTGGGACAGACTTTGGAAGCATAGTAGAAGAAATGGAGGCAATCCTGATCTGGGTGCAACATAGATGCTGACAGTCATTTGTGATTGTGTAGGTTTCTACAGCTGGACAGCCCAGTAAGAAGCCATCTACACTCCTTTCCTGCAGCCGGAAACTTCACAACCTCCCCACTCAGGTCTCTGCCATTCACATTGAGTTCACAGAGTATTATTTCCCAGACAATCAGGAGCTTCCAGGTAAGCAGCAGAGCCGGTCATTTCTTCCTGTCCAGCGTATGCCCTTCCCATTTGTCAGCCGTGGGGCCACTACTTGTATTCTCATTAGTTGTTCGGAGTTTTAGGTGTTTGGGTTTAGCACACCTTTGTTAAAAACTCGCCCTGTAGAAATATGTCCGTTTGTTCTCTTGATAGTAAAATGAATATTAGCTGGTAAGCAGGAGTCAAATTGCTACTTTGTACAATACATGGTCCTTTTTTGCTCTGCTTTCCAGTTCCCTGTCCCAATCTCTACATTCAGTTAAATGGTCTGACATTTACTATGGATCCTGTCAGCTTGCTCTGGGGAAACCTCTTCTGCCTGGATTTATACCGCAGCTTAGAGCAGTTCAAAGCTATCTACAAGCTGGAAGATTCAAGCCAGAAAGATGAACACTTGGACATCCGCCTAGATGCCTTCTGGTTGAAGGTAGGGAGACAGTGGGGTTTTGGTTCCCTGTTGGCAGCCCCAGCTGCATTTCTCCCATCGTTATAATCCAGGGTTCTGCTCTGTCCATTTGATAGAAGAAAAACAGCTTCTCAGTCCAAATGGCCTTTCGTGTGTGTGTTAATGGTGGAGTGTGGAGATTCTTAGATGACCATTCTGAATTGGGTTTCATTTTTTCTCCAAAGGTGAGCTTCCCACTGGAAAAGAGAGAGCAGGCTCGGTTGCATCGGCCCCAGGCCCTTGTCTTCTCTGCAGCAGGCATGACTGCCACCAATACACGTCATGCCCCACATTGTAGCTTTCCAGACCTCCAGAGTCTCTTCCGGGGTTTTGCTGCTGCTGAGTTCTTTCATTCCAATTATGTCCACTTTCCCAAGGTCCCAAGTAGCTTCAGCCTTCTGCACATACTCTTTTCGCATCATGCCTTCCAGATGGATTCCAGCCTCCCTCAGCCTAGTACCCTTCCTCCCCAGAGGCCCAAGGCTTCCCAGGATCTCTGGTCTATCCACTTCCCCCAGGTCTCCTTGGACTTTGTGGGAACAGAGAACTTCAAAGGCCGCACCTTGAATTTTGTGGCCCCCTTCCCCTTGTCCATTTGGGCCTGTCTGCCCCTCCGCTGGCAGCAGGCCAAGGCACGGAAGCTCCTTTCAGCTGCAGAAGGGAAGCTGAAACCATCAGCCAGCTTTGGCAGTCCTGTTCCGTCTGAGGCACTTGCCCCTGACCCTGTATCCCATCTGAGGTCAAAGACAGAGCATGATTTGAAAAGCCTGTCGGGCCTTACGGAAGTCATGGAAATTCTGAGAGAAGGCAGTGGTGGTGTGGAGGGCAAAGGGCCTGTGACCCAGCTGCAGGATGTAGCAGATGTCCATGTGCTCGTCCACTCCCCTGCACATGTCCGTGTGAGGCTCGACCACTACCAGTACTTGGCCCTGCTCCGCCTGAAGGACGTGTTGCAGGGTCTTCAGGAGCAGCTGACCAAGGACACCGAGGCCATGACTGGCTGTCCCCTGCAGGACCAGACAGCATGCATTGGGGTCCTCTTCCCCAGTGCCGAGGTGGCTCTGCTCATGTGTCCTGCGCCTGGTGCTGCGGAAGCTGAGTCTACAGGTTCAGATACCACCAGCCTTATAGACTCGGAGCTGTCTCCTTCTGAGGAGCAGGAGCTGAAGTCTGAGGCCTCCTCAGACCAGGGCCCAGCAAGCCCTGACAAGGTTCTGGAGGACAGTGGCACTGAAAATCTGGCCACCTCCCAGGATGGGCCACTGCCTCTCCATAGCAATGGAGAACTGCAGGACTCAGATTCTCTAGCACAGCAGCTGGCAGGGCAGGGCCATGAGGCGGTTGACTTCCAACAGGCCAAGAGACCAAGCAGAGACCAAGCACCCAGCTCACCAGCTACGCCAAAGCCCCCCGGTGGGAGGGATACCACTGTGAACGGACAGGATGAGCTCATGCCCTTGAAGAACATTGAGGGAGAATTGTCAAGTGCTATTCATATGACCAAGGATGCCACCAAGGAGGCCCTGCATGCCACTATGGACCTCACCAAGGAAGCTGTGTCCTTGACGAAGGATGCCTTCAGTCTGGGCCGAGACCGCATGACCTCCACCATGCACAAGATGTTGTCTCTGCCCCCAGCCAAGTGAGTGGTTCTCTGCCTCTGTCAGTCGCCCCATTCCTTCCTCCTCGCCGTTGTCAGTGGGCTTGAGGTCTCTCCGGTGTGCACTGTTAGATGGGGAAGCACCCCAATCCAGAAGAGCACATAGAATGGCCTAGTTCCCATATAAAGCCCTTAGTGTCCAGAGCTGCCTGCAGGGCACTGGAGGAATTTTCAGGCTGCTTGGGGGATACAGGCACCAATTGGAGAGACTCACTTTCAGGCTACATCTAATTCTGTGATAGGGGAAGAACCAGAAATTGCAATAAAATAAGAAAATCCCATGGATTTTCACCTGCCTCTACATATCATAGGCTGTTCTTGGGCAGTTTTCAAGTCAACATTTATTGCTTCTTAGGATCAAATTATCTCCTTTTTCACCTACTCATGGTTACTGATACAGACATGCTGTGTCAGAATAATAATACCTGGTATCAGTGTGATACTTTATTCTGTTCAGTGGCCTCTCATGTAATATTTTGTTTGATTTGATCCCCACAGCAGCCTGCTGAGGTAGCTGTGGAAATTTGTATTCCTAGTTTATAACTGAGGAAACAGGCTTCAGAGAGGATGTACCTGTGAATCCTCTATTGTAGATAGAAACCTGGGGCTTTACACTTGCTCTTTGTGGCACACCTTATCAACGTCTGCCAGAGTATTAGAGAAGGAAGAATTTCATCCACTTGTTCAGCACTATTATTTGAGCCATATTGTGTGCCAGGCTCTGTGTTAGGTACTGGAGATACGGTAGGAAGGAAGACACAGAAATGCAGTCAGAAGAGCGGAAAGGTGCAGGTATTTCCATTAGGTGCCTTGTGGTTTTAGGAAAGTTAATGAAGACTACGGGAAATCTTTGCTGCGACACTGGTTTAGGGACCATGGTATGAAGACCAGTGACTTTAGACCTTTTGTCTAAGTGGATTATCTTAAGTGGGTCTCTCATCATTGCCTGTGGGTGTGCTAGTACCTGCTGGGCATAGGTAGTCTAGGAGGAAGGAGAGAGGAAAACTTAAAGGGATGAATGATAATTGAACAACATTTATTGAGTGCTTTCTGTGTGTCAGGCACTATCCTAAATACCTACAATATTAATCCAGTGAATTGTTGTAACAGCCCTATAAGGCAAGTACTAATATCACTCCCCATTTTACAGATGAGGAAACAGACTCAGAGAGGTAAGAAAGATCACACAACTTGTGAGTGGTGGGGTGAGGATTGAAAACTCCCCCTGCCCCTCCGCCCAGTCACCCAATGTGCTGCCTTTTTTACATGGAGAAGAGTAAGGCAGATGGGAAAAGAGAGAAGAAAGGTGTGTGATACCAGCTGTTTTTCAAACACCACCAATGACTGTCTAACTGCGCAGGCTAATGACCGTTTCTTAGTCCTCCTTACCCTGGACTCTCCTGGGGCAGTTTCCCTGCCAGTCAGCTGGTCCTGAGCAGGTGTGACCTCCTACCAAGTTACACTTCCTAAGGAGGGGGTCTTCTTTTTCCTTGGCTGCTCCCTTCTTCCTTTTATCCTGTAAATGTAGCTATTTCACAGAGCTAGGCTGTCCACATTCTCATCTCGTTTGTCACAATTTTTAGTTTTTAAATTAGAAAAATGATTGTGTTCATTTTGTTGGCAATGTAGAAAATAGAAGAATACAAAAGAAAATATAAAAGTCACTTGCAATGACACTATCCAGAGATAGCCACTATATACATTTAGATCTAATGGGTCTTCGGGAAAGTCATGTCGCATTTTTGCATTGAAAAACATAGAAAAATACGTCATGACTTTCCTGATGACCCAATATTTTCTTCCAACTTTTTTACATATATTTGTGTATCCATGTGAGTGCTTATATCTGTATATATATTTAACATACACATATTGTTTTTACAGTAATGGGATTATAATGTCTATAGAATATAGACAATTTCCAGTTTTATTCACTTAATGTTTTATTGTGAATATTTTCTCATTGATTAGGTATTTGTGTGCATAATTTTTAATTGCTCTATTATATTCTAGCAAATGGATATATCATGATTTATTTATCCATTCCACTATCTAGATGGGAGTCATTTAGTCTGTTTCCAGTTTTCCTCAGGTAGAACCAATGCTGTGTTAAGTGTCCTTATTTTTGTGAACGTTACTCTTTATGCATATTTAAATTAAAAAATAATTTTTTTTAAAGATTTTATTGGGGAATTGGGGGAGGGAACAGCGTTGGGGAATCGGGGAAGGGGAACAGACAAGTTGCTGTCCTTTTGTTCTTCAGTCTAGTTGTGGAGGATGTTGCTTCACTGGCCCATGTTTATATTGTGATCATTGCGCTCTTCCCGGCTGAGGCAAATGAGTCGCCGGCTATTGGACGGCTGCTCATGGTGGCTCACCGGCAGCTCATGGCCGGCTGCCGGCCACTCATGGTAGCTTACAGCAGCCCCACTGTAGCATGGGCTGTAGCCTACGCCTACGCCATCGCTGGCAACTCACGGCAGCTCAGCTCCAGGTCGAGCTGTTGTTCAATATCTTAGCTGTAGAGGACGCAGTGTCACTGCCCATGTGGGATCCGAACCAGGGTCCTGCTGCTCAGAGCTGGCGTCCCAAGCCAACTTTTAACCAGTGAGCCACTTAGCCGGCCCTGCATATTTAAATCTTTAGAATAAAAAATCTAGAAGTAGAATTTTTGGGCCATCACTACAAGCATTTTTAAGGTTCTTAATGCATTTGCAAAACTTTCAGAAGGTTTATATCATCAGTCTGTGCTTCTGAATACTTTTCTATGTTTAACTTTAACCATTTCCTCACTTCTGCCATATTCCATACTTTTAGTCCTAACTTCCCTTCCCTACACTATTTAAAACTATCTACTTGCACATAGCTCCACATGGATCTCCCAGGGGCACCTTGAACTTTACATATATAAAACTAAATTCTGTATTCCTCCCAGACCAATTCTTTCTTTTTTTGGTAGCATCAGTCTCCTCCTCATTCAAGCTCTACATTTTAGCTCTGCTTCTCCCAGTCATTTGTCATGTTCTGACCACAATTCCTAGGGCAGTGATTCTCAACCTAAAGCATACTTCAGAGTCACCTGGAGGGTTTGTTAACACACATCACTGAGCCCCACGGGGAGTTCCTCAAGGTCTGAGGAGGGGCTCGGAATTTGCTTTTCTAACAGTTCCACCATTGATGCTGATGTTTCTAACAGGATGACACTTGAGAACGCTGCTCTAGGGAGTCTCACATCAGTTTTTCCTGTCTGTTCCCACAAGTCGACTATTTCAAAAAACTATTAAATGATTTCCTCATTGGAAGTCTTTCCCTTCTAGCTTGTTTGAAAAAGCCAGGTCAAACTTCCTAAAGCACAGGTATGATCTTGTTATTTCCCTACTCTAAAATCTTCAGGCTTTTTCCTTACACCCTATGAATTTAATTGAACTTCTTAGTGTGGCATAATCTATTATTATGATATAGCCACAATTTTTTAAATAGACTTTATTTTTTAGAGCAGTTTTAGGTTCATAGCATACTGAGCAGAGATTTCCCATATACTCCCTGCACTTAATGTTTTCAGAGCACTTTTATATATAATCTTTTATCCAGAGTTTTCTATGATCTGGTGTAACCCATGTGGTAAAGTGAAAAAAGTACTTAACAAGAAGGTAGGAGACTTGGTCTTTCTTTTTTTTCTTTTTTTTGGGGGGGCTTTTCTTAATTCCACCTTTAACTGTGACCTTGAGTCAGTTTCTTCATCTGTAAAACGGATGTAAAAAGGGTAGGAATAAAAGGGTTTTTGTTTTGTTTTGTTTTGTTTTTAAGATTTTACTGGGGAATTGGGGGAGGGGACCGGCCAAGTTTTCTTCAGTCTTCGTTGTGGAGGGTGCCAGTTGCCATCTGGCTTCCTGTCGGCAGCTCATGGCCTCTCAGCTCAACGTGCTGTGTTCAATCTTAGTTGCGGGTGGGCGTAGCCACTATCCCATGCAGTCAAACCAGCAGCCTTGTTAAGAGCACCCGTTCTATCCACTGAGCCACCTGGGCGGCAGCTCAGCTCAAGGTGCCCAGTTCAGTCTTAGTTGCAGGTGGGCATAGCCCACCATCGAACAGACAGTCTTGCTGTTACACCAGCTGAGCCATCCTGCCACCTGTTGGCAGCTCAGCGACAGCTCGGGCGCAGCATCACTGGCCCATGTGGGAATCGAACCGGCGGCCCTATTGCTCAGAGCTCGCGCTCTTAAGCCAACTCTTAACCAACTGAGTCACTTGGCTGGCCCTAAAAGGTTTTTAAAGGCTTCTTTTCACTATGCCTTTCTAACTTGATCTTCCACTGCTCTCCCCAACAAAATCTATGCTCTAGCTGGATCGAGCTACCTACTGTTTCTAAAAGTACTTTTTTTTTTGCTTATGCTGTTTCTTCTCCATAGAATGCCCTCTTTTCTATCTCTTTCATTTACTGCAGGACAAACTCAATTGTCACCTCCTTCCACAATGCCCTTCTCGAGCCCCTTCTCCTTCTCTTTTCCCCTCTTTACTACAGCCTGGCCTTTGGCTGGTACCTCTGTCCCTCTTGTGGTGTGTGTAACGTATTCCCAAATAATGTTACTTATGTATGAGTCTTCTCTCTCCTGGTAGACCATAAGTGCTTTGAGGACAGGGATGTCTGATTCATCACTTTGTTTACCCTCTGCCTCTGTCACGTGCCTAGCATGGTGCCCTGTATGCAGAAGTTATTCAGTAAATACTTGTAGAATGAATGTGGGTGGTTTCAGGGGCCAATCATTAGCACCAGGGCTGTAGGTAGTTAGTTGATCTCTTCTCCTTATGGGATGACCTTAAAAACCTTGACATTTAATGTTGATATGGGAGAGCTGTTTATGCAGTTTGAAATGCTGGAATATGAGGATTCAGAAAGGCCAGTTGTTGGAAAATGGTGTGACCCCCCCTACAGCGGGTAATGGTTGGCATCAAAGTTTATGTATACAATAACTGTCTTGGCTGAAAGGGGTGCGTATTGCAAGGGGACAGAACGTTTCTTAAGCCACATTTGTGGGTTTGGTTTTTGACTTTTAAACAGGGAGCCCATGGCCAAGATTGATGAGGGAGTGGCAGCCTCAGTGAGTGGAGGTGCTGCCCGACTCCGACTTTTCTCCATGAAGAGGACAGTATCTCAGCAGTCATTTGATGCTGTCTCACTGGATAACAGTGGCCCTGAAGACCGGATTTCAGTAGACAGCGACGGCAGTGATAGCTTTGTGATGCTCTTGGAGTCTGGTAAGCGGAAGCAGAGCCAGACAGAGTTGCAGAAGTCCAAAAAGGGTTCTCTCTGCTGCCTGTTTCCACACTGGCAGGTTGCAGAAGGAGCTGACATTTTATAAAATAGACATTTTCTTAACCAAAACCAAAAAAAGAGAAATTTTAACAGATTCATGGCTCTAGCTTTATCCCCACATCTTCTAGGTTCCTGGTGAGTGCTTGACCTTTATCACAGAATGAGACTTGGACCAAAGGAGAGTGCCAGCCTTACAGCCATGCAGCTGTGGCAGTAGGATTAACCTTGTGGCTGGTGTCACAGGGGTGTGTGTGTGTTGTCTGCTTTTTTTTTTCCTAACTATTTTATTGTTGGAAAACAACTGGGAGCTTTTTGTCTATGATAAAACGAATAACTTTTAGGAATTAGGTCAATTACCACTGGAAGATACACTGGTTCTTTCAGCTTATTGAAATGGAAACTTTTTAAATTGTCCCTAAACAATGTCTAAATGAAAAGAAAATAGAGAATGTTGTGTTTCTTAAACTGGATGGTGTGTGCCCATGTTTGATTTGTTACTATTTTTAACTACTTATGGAAACTTTTGAATATATACAAAAGTAGAATAAAATAATGAACCCTCATATACCTAGTAACTAGCTTCAGATATTACAAACTCATGGCTATTCTTGTTTCATATATACTCCTGCCCACTTCCCTTCCTCCCATATTATTTTGAAGCAAATCCCAAACATCTCATTTCATCCATAAATATTTTCATTATGCATCTCTAGAAAGTACAAACTTTTAAAAACACATATGTAAAAATTTTATGTAAAAAACAAAATAAAATTTACCATCTGAACCATTTTTTAACTATATTTCAGTTGCCATTAAGTACATTTCAAATTATCGTGCATTCATCTCCAGAACTCTTTTTCATCTTAAAAAAAATGAAACTCTGTACTCATTAAACAATTACTCCTCATTCCCTCCTCCAGCCCCTGTCAACCACCTTTCTGTCTCTATGAATTTGTCCACTCTAGGTAACTCTTAGAAGTGGAAGCATACAGTAGTTGTCCTTTTGTGACTGGCTTATTTTATTTAACATAATGTCCTCAAGGTTCATTCACATTGTAGCATGTGTCAGAATTTTCTTCCTTTTTAAGATTGAATGATATTCTACTGTATGTTTATACCGCTTTTGTTTATCCATTTATCCATCCATGGACACTTGAGTTGCTTCCATTTATAGACTTAAAAATTTGACCAAACACCATTATCACACTTTTAAATATTAACAATAATTTTTTAAATTAATCAAATATCTGGTTAGTCTTCACATTTTCAGTTGTCTCATAAGTATCATAAATGTTTTGTTTTATTTTTACAGTTGTCATTGTTCTAAGAGATTGTATTCGAACAGAATTTTTTGACTTGCGAGCTCTTTTGTTGTCTTTCTTATGCAGAGCCTGGTCCAGACTCTCTCCCTCTAGGATCCCTTCCAAATATCTTGGACAGCGCTGGTGTTCAAGGGAGCCCTGTTGTGGATAGTTATGGCCAGGGCTCACCGGAGGCCAACAGTTCCTTCTCACCCAGTGGGGAAGACGTCAATTTTCACCCGGTCAGCTGCTCTCCTTTCTTCTCTGCAGAGGGTAGGCTCTAGGCTGGAAGTGTGGGACTCAGCTAAGAGAGTCTCCTTTTACAGGTCTCAGTTCTGGTTCTGAAGGTGAATGAGGTGTCTATGGGAATTGAGGTACGTGGCGAGGACCTGGCTGTGGCCCTGCAAGCAGAGGAACTGACCCTTCAGCAGCTGGGCACCATGGGACTCTGGCAGTTCTTGCATGGACCGTGCCCGGGTAAGGATGGTAGCCATTCCAGGAGAGCTGGTGGGATGTCCCTGGGGCAGCCAGAGCTTAATTTGCTCTTGTCACTGTGCTCCAGCGGCAGCTGCCCTTGTGCCATGTATTTGGCCCTTCTCTCCAGTAGCCATTAGGGGGAGGAAGAACTCCAGGAAAGCCTCCTCCTTGCAAGGAACCTCCCAGAGCTCTTTCTGGGGCTCTTTCAGTAGACTGTTCTCCATCGACATTTCCCACGTCCTCCTTAAGCTTCTACAGGAGGACAGTGGCCACACATTTGATTGTGTGGCTGCTAACATCAAACTACACCTGACCAGGGAGCTTCTGTTCTTCAGATTAAGGCCTCTGATGTGAATTTCATTTATATTTTGAAAGATGACAGGAAAAATCTGGGCTTGTGCTACATGCTTCACTTAAAAAAAATTATTTTTTAAAATATTGAGTAGATACTAGAGAATACTTAAAAAATATATGTAAGGTATAAAATAGTAACAACAATGAACCTATGTACCCACCGCCTAGTTTAATAAATAAATAGAACAGCATTATTAACTTTGCAGTCCCCTGGAGCCCCTCTTTTCCTGCCTCTCACCTGTCAAAGGGGATCACAAGATCCTGAATTTTGTGTTTATCATTTTCTTGCCTTACTTTACAATTCTTCCACATGTGTTTGTATCAATGTATTATTTAGCTTTATAGGTTTCTGAGTTTTTCTACACAGAATTATAGCTTGTATTCTTTTGTGATTTGCTTCTTCCATGTAACATGATATTCTTCAAATTCTTCTAGATTGTTGAGTTAGCGATAATTCATTCATTTTCACTAGTATATAATATTCTATGGTATAAACTACTTTTTGCTTTTTTAAAAACAGCTTTATTGAGGTATAATTTGCATACTATGAAATTCACTCATTGTAAATGTACAATTTGATAAATTTTAGTAAGTTTACAGTTATACAACCATCACCCTGAACTATCCCCTGTGCCCATTACTGTATTTTCTTCAGTCTATTCTGAACAGACATTTGGGGTTTCCAGTTCTTTTGCTATTTCAAATAGGGTTGCCTTGTATGTGTCTCCTAGTATGTATGTTGGAGAGTTTCTCCGGGGTTATATTCTTGAGATATAATTTCTAGCTCATTAGGGTAGGTATAGCTTTAATTGTACTAGGTAATTCCAATTTGTTTTCCAAAATGGTTGTACCAGCTTGCAGTTATGTAAGTATGTAAGTTCCATATCCTTGGCTACACCTGAGATTATTCTTTATGGAGCTTTGAGGAGATGAGCGTAGATCCTGCTTGGCTTTATCAGAGAGAGTTGGCTTTATATGAGAGGATGAAGACTTGAAGAAAGGAAGAGATATCCAAATGTAGCAGAGCTGAGGGTTCTGTGTTTTCAGAGCTTTCCCTTGGCCATTAGCAAGGCCAGCTTTTCATTGGTTCTTAACCTCCCCTCCTCCATGGGCATTAGGGCAGAGTAGCTAAGCGCACGGTTGCAGTCAGGCTGCCTGCGTTCAAATCCTGTCCTTGCTACTTACAAGTTGTGTAACTTTGGGTAAATGATCCTCTGTGCCTCCGTTCCTTCATCTCTAAGATGGGAATCAATAATACTTTTGACATAGGGTTGATATGAATACATATGAAATGTATGTAAAGTCCCTGGCTGTTAATTACTATGTTTTCCCTCTGTCTTCTCAAAGGTACAAACTTTCAGGAATCCTCAACTTTGAGGGCTGGCCACATCAAGCCAGCTGTGGGCCTTCGCTTTGAGGTGGGGCCTGGTGCAGCTGTTCATTCCCCGCTGGCCACCAAGAATGGCTTCCTGCATTTGTTGCTTCGAGGCTGTGACCTGGAGCTGCTCACTTCAGTGCTCAATGGCCTGGGTCCCTTCTTGGAGGATGAGGAGATTCCCATAGTGGTTCCCATGCAGATTGAGCTCCTGAACTCCAGGATCACCCTAAAGGTGAGAGGAACTTTTGGTTTTTACCCAAGACTTTGTCAGGCAAGGAATTCTGGCAGTGACAGCTGTTACCCTCTTGCCTTGTCCCCCTGTAAAGGGTTGTAAGGATCACGTGAGGAGATGGCATATTATCATTCTTTGTCAATGCTATTATTAGCACATACATACGAAAGGTCAGATAATTAAGTTCGGGAACTTCCCACCGTGCACTTACACGGTGGAAAGTTCTGAACTTAACTGTCCGACCTCGTATGTGTTGCTGTCAAAAAGTCCCAGGTCCAGGTCAGGAGATATTGTCTCTAGCCCTAACCTTGCCTTTGGCCTGTAGCATGACTATGTGCAATCCTATTAGTTTATCTGATCCTCAGTCTGACCATCTCTAGAATGGCAGAAACTCAGCTACGCCTCTCATACCTTACAAGAGTGTATGGATAAACAATGACATAACTGTGCTTCAAATTGATTGGTAGAAGTGTGGGTTGTTACCTCAATTGCTCTGAGCTGGTTGGGGACATCATGCGGTTTCCCTCCTCTTTCCTGTAGGACGATATACCTCCCATCTATCCGACGTCTCCAGGCCCTGTCCCCATTACTCTGGCCATGGAGCATGTTGTGCTGAAGCGAGATGATGATGGTGTATTCCACATAGGCGGTGAGTTGGGCCTGTCAGCCTCCTGACTTCTCTGCCTTTTCTATCCTGGAAAGGAATTGTCTGCATGTTGGCAACAGTTTGTCATTTAGAGCCTTTACTCTTTTTTCCAGCTTCTGCTCATGACAGACCATCAGCTGAAGTACCTGAAAGTGAGAAGGGACAGCTCCCAAAAGAACAGATGTTTTTTGTTCCCCCCGGGGAGGCGTTTGGAGAGCAGGTAAGGACCTAACTGCACAGTACCTTTCCTGTAAACCCTGCGGGGCTGTAATCACAGATGCTGATAAAACCCAGAGGGCTGGACAGGTCGCTTGTGCTGTGTACAGCTGGGTGGTGTGGGCTCCTATCACCCAGCAGCAGCCTCTAAAAATGCGAATAGAGGACACAAATCAGGAGCTGGAGTGAATGGTTGCTGATCACAGATTCTACCTGTTGCTGTCCTTGTAACTAATGAACTCTGAAGAGGGGTTAGGCTCTTGGAAAAGATCTAGTTGGGTTCTCTTGATCATTGATCAAACTTGTGGATTTTTCTGCTTGAATTCTACGTTGTTCCTTACTCAGTGTTTTTTTCTTTTCTTTTTTTTTTTTTTTGCAAAATGTGTTAGCTTATTCATTAACTGTGAATTACTTATCATTCCTCAGGTGAAGGAACTGCCTACCCTACAAAAGGAACTTATAGAAACTAAACAAGCATTGGCCAATGCCAACCAGGATAAAGAAAAACTTCTTCAGGAGATTAGGAAGTATAACCCCCTCTTTGAGCTCTGATAGCAGGAGCTCAGCCATCTGTGCCAAGGCGAGGAGGAGATCACCAGCAGTAGCACCACCTATGACAGAAGGCACCCTCCCGTGTTGATATGTTGGCTGAGAACACCGAGGGCCTGGGGAGTGCTCAGCTCACTCCTCGCAGTGTCCATTGTACTAGCTGTTCTGACTCGATGGAAGACAGGGCAAAGCAGGACCGTGTTCTCGGAAATTGGGGGCAGCTTTGTGCGTGGCTCAAGCATCATGTCTTGCCTGTGTAGAGCATTTTGGTCCTCTGTACATGAGATAGAGCCATTTAACCGCCTAGTTTCATGACAGAGACTTTTGTTTCCTCCACAACCTGTGTGAACAAGGGGAAGTACCTACCCTCCGTCACACACAGAGCCACCAAAGATTGTACATCCCAGAGCTTCCTGTAGCAGACCTGGAAAGTCCTTGGCCTGAGCTCTGGCCACGGTAGTAGAGTGGAAGAGGACATAGCCAGCAAGGTGGGAACCAGGAGAGGCACAAGAAGAAGAGAGATCGAGCAGGACCCTGCCTTTTTGGGAAAGGGAACCAAGCTCATATCATCTTGGCTGATGTTACAATCAGATCTTTCAGGGTTAAGCTTCCTTTCTGTTATGCTTTCATCATTGTGACGCTCTGGTAGAAAGTAAACATCAGTAGTGGCTCAGTTGTATCTTTCCTGTCTGTATCATAATTTATTTGAAATGTAAGTCAAGAAAAAAAAATACTCCCTCTGAGCTAAGTTGAAGGCATGACGTGGTAGCGACCAGTAAGGGGAGCTTGATTCTGAGCCCCTGCTTCCTGCCTAGAGTCCTCTCTCCCAAAGCTGCACCTCAGAGGTTATTTCCTCTGTCTCCCAGGGTCCCTGACACATCACTCCCAGCACTACGACTTCCCACCAGCATCTCAACCTGTTGCCTCTCCCCTGCCCCCCCTCATCACTGTGGCTTTTTTAAACCATGTGATTTTGACTTAAGTAAAAACAAACAAACAAAGAAACAAACAAAAAAACCCTTGCCACCCTGGCTGGGTTTTGCCTCTGTCCTATAAAAGAACAATTTCCCCCTTCTTTTTTTTCTAATTCTGTCCAATCAAGCTGTGTTGATTGGACAGAAGTTCATCAGCTAACTCACCTTGAATTGGGAAGAGGATAAACTAGTGATTTAGTGGGGTCAGGAAAGTCTTACTCACACCTGACTTATTGAAGGAAAGATAAATGGCTTCCTTTATAGGAAATCATGTCTGACTTGTATATTATAGTTTTTTGAGGATAAAAAGAAACGTGTTCATGAAGGGACAAAATCTAATTTGTTCAGACTTTTAAGGAACTTTTGTCAAGTTCTTCATTAAGGCAATTTAAAAAGCACCAGTTACTATGAGATTATGGGAATAGTTTGTGACACTTAGGAAACTACTTAGAGACTTAAGAAGAAACATCTTTCTGGAGAGAATGTTAACGGGAAGTTTCCTATTGGTTGGTGCTTGGTTTAACCTTATTTAAGATTTTTATAAATACCCTGAAAGTAGGATATAACAGTGCAATCAAATGTTACTACTTACAGGCATTGAAAGGTAAACCAGAAGAGACTTAAAAAAAGCAAAACTGCAGAAGGGCCACAAGCCGGACTGTGAACAGTAAGGAAAGTGACAGGTGAAGTTAGGTGTAGGTAAGTGTAAAGTAACGCACTTGTGGAAAAATCAGCCGCTCTGAAAACTTGGGAAAGAAACTCAAGAATTGCCGAGAGGGAGGAGGTGCCAGTGTGCTGCTGTGGCCCAAAGCCCAGCTGCATCATGAGGAAGGGCAGGGACAGCACAGAAGATGGGACCTCATAGTCAACCATGGTGATGTCTTCAATTGCCTGTGCACTCTGGCGACCTTATTTACAAAGTACGTGGTGAAGGGAGGAAAGGTTCAGAGAACAGCAAAAATGATCAGGGGTGAAGGTCCTTAGATGAGGACACACCTATAAAATATAGACTCCAGTTCTAGAAAGATGAAAGCTGAGGGTAGTGTTAAATTAAATATCCAGCCAAGAGGAAGGACATGATCACCAGGTCTTGAAATACTCGCTCTTGGGCTCTACCTCATTGTCTCAGGTTAAAGAAAGCACTTCTGGTAGCACATCGGAAACCTGCGGAGCTTGTTGTCCAAGAAGTGGTACTGGCAGAAACTCTGCATGGGTGCAGAAGGCTTAAGAGGAGTCCTTGTATGGTTTAGACTCCCAAGAGGAATTATAGATGAGGGCTATTTTGGGTGAAATACAACTGAGAGAGTAATTGCATCCCTCCACAAACTCCCCCTTAATGCTTTTTTCTTTTTATTTTTTAAAGATTTTATTGGGGAGTTGGGGGAGGGGAACGGCGTTGGGGAATCAGGGAAGGGGAACAGACAAGTTGCTGTCCTTTTGTTCTTCAGTCTAGTTGAGAACGCTGCTTCACTGGCCCATGTTGGTATTATCATTGTGCCCTTCCTGGGTAAGGCAGATCAGTTGCCGGCCACTGGACGGCCGCTCACCGCGGCCCTTGGCAGCTCACGCCAGCTGCCGGCCGCTCACAGTAACTTATGGCAGCCCACTGCAGCTCCCCTGTAGCCTATGCCCATGCCAGTGACTCATGGCAGCCCAGCTCCAGGTCTAGCTGTTGTTCACCATCTTAGCTGTAGAGGTGGCCTCACTGGCCTTAATGTGGGATCCGAACTGGGGCCCTGCTGCTCAGAGCTGGCGTCCCAAGCCAACTCTCTTAACCAACGTGCCACTTGGCCACCCCCTTAATGCTTTTTTGAAAGGCAGAATGGTGAACGAAGTAGATCATGGGTTGTCTCAAGTATGGCATTTCTAATATTTTCGGAAGGGGAGGAGGGAGACCCAGTAGCTGGAAATTGGAATTATTCAATCTTAGGCTCACCTGAATTTGTTTAAAATCACACTGATTTTCTTCCCTCCTTCTCCGTGACCCACCATATCCCACTGGCATCCCTCCATGCAAAGAACATGTCTAATAGGCGTTGCCTGGTTCACCTTCACTTTAAGCTTGTGCCTGGTAGGAGGCAATAGAAACACATCTGGGAAACACCAAGGATAAACTGTAAGGGCCAGAACTCAGTAGGTTTCTGGGCTCTCTGGAGCTTCTTCCATGTGACAAATGGAGCCCTCGAATTTCAGACTTCCATTATCTGGCAGCGTTGGCCATTGCGTCTTGAAATCCATCCTCAGGAAATGTAGTAGAGTCATTGTCCCATGGAATTTTAGTAAAAATCATCTTGTGTAATAACATCATACTTCTATTCAAGGGGGGATGAAGATTTTTTTTTTTCATAATGAAGAAATGTGAACTGGTTGGTCCTCAGGATAAACGTGAAGGAAAAAATAATGTCAGCTCCTTTGGCCTGCTTAGGATTTCTGCCTCAGAGCTGTATGACTCGTTCACTCTGTGAACAAGAAATAACAATACCTCAAGAAAACGCCTGGAGTCATAGCATCACTATCCCTCGGAGACTTCAGCCACTGCACATGGTCATTTCAGCTGTGAAACATTTACAACTACATCATCTGTGATTGTCCAGATTTCTTGTTTACATGGGTGTACTGGAGATACACTTTAATGCATATGGACTGGTTTACATCTCTCTTAGCTGAGCTGTGGGGATGGTTATCAATATCAAATTGTTTTTAACTCACTGGAATAATTAACCTAGTTTCTTTGACTTACGACAGAAAGCGTGGGCTCTATTCTTGTGATGGCTGCTTTTTTGCTGTGCATTTATCTGACCCTGATTTTGCCATGGGCCTCAACCTTTATGTACCTTTCATCATGGTTCTAGAAGGAATGGTTCCCGTGTATGGAATATACAAGGGGTGAATACCACCTCTCAGATACCCCATAACTTAAGTGCTTCCATGTAACCCATTTACATTCGATTTCCCTTAGGCTAGTTCAGGAGGGTAGTGGGAAAAGAAGGTAGTTGAAGTATTGCTATAGTGATATGGGAACTTTCCATTCCAAACCTTTACACTAAGCGTTTGTTTTTCTCCCTTAATACTTGCCTAAACTTCTAAAATCAGTTTTGGAAACAACTGAACATTGCTGTACAAGCTAGTAGGATGACACCTGGTTATGTGAGAACTGCAAAGGCTGTGTCATTGCTTTGTGATTTACCACGGTCATTATTAAGTGTCCAAGAGATTCTGGTGGGAAGCGCCATCCTCTCACCTAGATCTATGGCTCCCCCACCTTCTGCTAGAATAGGAATATTCCCGTCACCTCTGGGTAGGTATGGACAGTAGTTATTGTTTAATGAGGATTATTTTCCCCACGTCTGACAACTGACACAAGGTGGAACACTCTTGGATAATCGTAAACTGTGAGGCTTTGCTAAATGGCCAGACGGATGTGAACTTTCTCCCTCGTTACTTGTAAGTTTTAGCCTTACCCAATATCACAAATTGCAATAGGTATAGTTCCTATAACCGTTAAAAAAATTCCTGTTTGACCTGAGAGAGCATCTATTTTTTGGGTTTTCCCCCCACTGTATTAGTTTTGGGTCAAGATTTAGCCTGAATCTTAACAGCATTTCTTTGTGGAATGCCCCACTAAAGTGCTGCTCCACTGGCTAAGTGCATATTTAAAGCCATGAGTTTTAACTTAAGATACTACATGTCAGATTTGCCCAACTTTGAGTCCAAGCTGTTTCCCTGCCTCAGGGTGCTAAACAGAATTGGAATCTACTAAGACTTGCTCAGGAAAGCTTCAAAAGAGAACAGCTTCAAAATCCTTCCACTGAATGAGAGAGATGAAAGAATTCTTGGGGATTGCCAATTAATACTGTAGCCTTATTACTGCTAATCACTGTCAATAAAAGGTCACTTCATTCCCCTCTATTTGAGGAAAACAACAAGAATGTATCTGATGAACTGGAATACTGGTCAGTATTGGGAAATTTTAATGTTGCAATATCTAATCAAACCTTGAGTGTACTGGTTCTGTGAACCACCTGAAAAAAGCAAATTAAACTTATCAAACAGTATTGACTGTGATGTATCTGTTTATAGGACTCTGAAATATATGGGCTTTTACATTGTTTCTCAGTGCTTTAAGTACATTTATGAGAGAAAATTTGAATGGCTCTAGTAGAAAATGGGAAGGGCTCAAATTTTCACAAAAAACCCAAGACCAGTTTTACTCTGACACCAGAAAAAAAAAAGAATGATGAATTCCCCCCACCCCCATTCCAGTTAGACAGAAAATGAATACACATATGACAAGTTAGAAAACAATTTAATGATCATTCACCAAAATCCACAGGAGAATTGTAAATGTTTACAGGGACAAACTGTTCCACTCCTGTTATCACCATGTCCTTCATGTTAAGAGTATCACAAGTGAAGAGGTTCTGGTTGTTTCATCTACTTAAAACCAGATGTAAGAAACACCCTAAGTAATAGCAACTTCAGTGTGAAACTGTCAGAGACTTCAATGTGAAACTGTCCAAGTTCTCTCGGAAAGGGTTTCTCTCTGAAAGCAGCTCCCTGTCCGGAAGATGCTTAAGGCCCATGGACCTTTCTTCTTCCGACTAAATTAAATGCCTCAGAATGCCCTAAGAGGTCCCCATATTTAGTCCAGGTGAATATGAAACAGGCTGTGTGCCTTGTAGGTGTGATGAATAGCAGAGTTTTGAAAGAGACATTAAAACCATCATGGAATCCTGGGAGGACTCAGTACAGAAAGTCATGCAGCCTGAAGTCTGCAACCAGCACTTCCTTCAGCACCAGGTCTTCAAGCTTTGGTCTAGAAGATGATTTTTTTGTGCTTTGAGCTGGGTATCTGCCCCTTGGACTTTAATCTCCGAACAGCCTCCCTCATGTGTTTGGGTTGTAATGGTGGCATTTCTCCCCACTTCTCACACACATCCAGGGCTAAACAGGGCAAGGAGAAATTTTTATTATCACACCAGAGGTTATTAATCAACTGTAATTCTCATTAACTTCTTAAGCTTGCTAAGGAAATAAATCAAGACATTTCTCCTTCTTAAGAGAATGCTATGAAATGTATCATGTTAGCTTTAGTATAATATCCCATATCAGGCTTTATCATAGGCAACAGTTGAAAACATACCTTCTGCTTTAAAAAAAAACATTTCACCAGCAAGAGATTAGCAGCCAGGCTGTTTACCTGATGGACGGCAGGGGGCGGGGGGTGCAGTTCCCAGGGGTCAAATATTCAGGGATAACTCCTCACCATACCAATGATTTCTTGTGTCTTTACTTTTGGCAGCAGAAAGGAGCAAAGTCCATTGGAGAAAAATACAAAGTCTGCTTCCATCACCCTGGGCGGAGGACAGGAATCAGGAGGGGAGATTTTCTAGATGCTTCCAGTATGGAAACTTTCAAGGAATAATGGTCATGTTCTGAATACAACGCTCCCCCTTGGTCAACCTCTAGTGTAAATGGAAACTCCCACAGATTCCTTATTAAGTCCCTCAATGTAGATATTCTTGAAAATAAGACCGTCACAGGTTCAATCCAGTATTTATACCAACACCACTCACCTTCTTCTACTACTTCCCCGACGAAAACCTTGGAAATACCAGACATAGCAATCACCACATTCTGAGACACAGAGGTGCCCGTGATGGACTGGATCAGCTTGAAAGAAGGACAAAGACTGTGATTAAGGTGTAAAGGACTGGCTTATAAACAGTACCCATAAGAGCTCTGACTGAAAAAGTGCTTACTAAAGGCTGGATGCTGAAACTGAGGCTATTAAAACAAGGATTCAGGTGTATAATGACCTGTTTGTCCAGACCCTATCCCTGGAATATAAAACTGCAAATGGTCAGATTATTGATGGGCATGTTATTTTTATTTTCCCGCCTAAATGATCCACCAACTTCCAAATGCCAATGGACATAACCTTTGAGTCTACTTCAGTTCTCAGAGCTGATGGAAATGAAGTGTGATAGTCCATCCTTACCCTTTTAATGGCTGCTTTAGGGAAAGCTGACCGGCGATACATTTCGTAACGGTTCAGCTGCTCCTCAGAAAAGGAAGAAACCAGGATTCTAGACAAAGATTCAGGGAATTAAGTTCACTTATAAGAAAGAATGCTTAAGATACATTATTACGCCAATAAAATCAAGTCTCGGACAATTGGAATTTTCAAGGGGTCAAAAGTATTAAGGCTTAGTGCTCATGAGGAATGAAGATAAAGTATTTCTACTCTTAAGGAACTTGAGAATAAGTGAAGCATAGCTTCCTTTCTTACTTCATTAAGAACAAAAACCTAACAATGTTGGGTCACTGTATCATACTATATAGATTGTGTTTTCAGCATTAGGCTCTCCCCATAACGCTACCTTACCATACTTCACATTATGGTAAAAATTTAATATATAAATTTATATTCAAACCAATAGTTTTCAACATTAATAGGTTAAAGGGGAAATATTTATAAAACATATGGAAAAGGGTTAATTCTATAGTAATTCTTTCAAATAAATAAAAAGATGGCCATACCAATTTTAGAAAATGAGCAAAGGACACAAACAGAAAATTAACAAAGATACCAATGGCTAATAAATATAGAGGGGAAAAAAATTAACCTTCACTATTAAAGAAATTGAAATGACACAGTAAAACAAGATTAACATTTTTCATAAGCCAGATAGACAAGTATTAAAAAGAATGGTACTAATGAAAATGGGAAGACAGAAACTCATACATGCTTGTAAGAGTGTGAAATGGAACAACCTTTTTGGAGAAGCATTTAGAAATATGTTTGAAAATATTCATACTATGTGACTAGCAATTACGCTTCCAGGTTATTTTAGGAAGCAAATGGACAGGTATGCAGAAATGTGCTCAAAGATACTTATCATAATGTTGTCAAAACATGAGAACAGCTGTAGGGATTGGTTAAATTATGGTTTATCCACATAATGGAATCCAATGCAGCCATTAAAAATGATGATTTATGGGAATATTTACTGACATGAAAATATTTAGCAGTATATACCAAACATTTTAAAAACTATGAAAAGGTATATACTGAAAAATATACCCTGGATAAACTCTGGGTGGTGGGATTACGGGTAACTATTTTTTCTATTTTTCTGTATTTCCTGAATTATTTACAATCAGCCATACTACTTTTATAATCAGAAAGCATAATGAAGCTATTTCCATTTTGAAGAAAATTATAACCTAGATATATAATTATTGACATGAAACACATTCACCATATATAATGTGAAAAAAAGGTTATAAACAGTATTTAACATCTTTGAAAACTTTAATTTAGAGAATATATATATATATATATATATATATATATATATATATATACACACATATATATATATAAATATTTGGAGAATATACATTAAAATATCAACAGTGTTGAGGGCTGGCCGAGTGGCACGATGGTTAAAAGCTGGCTTGGGATGCCAGAGGGCCCCGGTTCAGATCCCACATGTGAGGGCCAGTGACACTGCCCTCTATAGCTAAGATGCTGAACAACAGCTCAACCTGGAGCTGGGGCTGCCATGAGTCGCCGCAGACGGCGTAGGCTGCAGCCCCTGCTGCAGTGGGTTGCCATGGGCTACCGTGTGTAGCCAGCAGCCAGCGTGAGCGGCCAGCAGCCAGCGTGAGCGGCTGTCCAGAAGCCGGCGAATGATCTGCCTCGCCCGGGATGGTGCCAACTTGGGCCAGTGAAGCAACGTCCTCCACAACTAGACTGAAGAACAAAAAGGACAGCAACTTGTCTGTTCCCCTTCCCCTAATTCCCCAATAAAAATCTTTAAAAAAAAAAAATCAAGTGTTTATCTTGGTGGTAAGGTGATATTTTATTCTTATACTTTCTATGATATAATGATGTATTAATTGCTTTATTTTCTTTTGAATTAAAAAAAAAAATTAAAGACCAAGAAAAATGTATTTGTGTGGTCCCGTTAGAGCCTTGCAATGGGGAAAGGTCAGAAAGTGACTTACTGCATCTTTTGAATCTCATCTTCATCCACTTTCTGCTTCTTCTCTTTCTTTTCTTTGGTATCGATTTTCAGTTTTTTGGCTGCAGGAGTAAGTAATGATGAGTCTTCCCTTTCAACTGCTGTTAAATCTGAGATGTCTTGACTCTTGAGCTGAGAAGATGAAAGAAACACTATTATATATTTGGCCTACTTTCCAGACGTGGGCAGGGTAAGAAGACATCATTCTCGTTACAACACAAATCCATTTACTCAGTAGTTTTTTGGTTCCAGGCACTGGTTGCAACATCAGGTGCAAGATACACAATCTCTCCTAAAGTAGTTTATAGCCCAGCTGTGGAAAGAAAACCAGCTAAATAATCCAGTTTTCCAGGTTAGCTATGATCACAGCTCCAATATCTGTTTATATGGGCAATAAGATGCCAAGGATCATGAAAGCCTCTCTCCCCCTAAGCCCATTCTTAGAGAGGGTGTCAGAAACGTCCTCTCCATCCAGCCAGCTTGTTTGTCCTGAATCTATAGATCTCTGTACTGGTGATGATTCCATGTAGAAAGAATATTAAAAAGGCCTCTTATCAACAAAACAGTGTTTCTTGGCTTTGCTTTCTCCCACCCCCTTAATCTACAACCAATGGATTTCATGTAACCTTCCTCCTTTGATTCTAATGTATAAAATGAGTTGCAAAATGGTCCTTTTTTTGGAGCATTTTCTCAATCTGTTGCGATTTTTGTTTCCCGGCAATTGTCGTCGTCAGCTTGGCTCAGATAAACTCTTATAAATTTAAACAAACAAAGAAACAAAAAACAGGGTTTCTTTGAATTTGGAACATTTAAGTGAGCTTCTTCCACATGTAATACCCTCTTCTTCCCACTTTTTATTTCTATTGTATCATGCAAATATTTACTAGACCGAAAACTTTTTGAAAATAGGTTTCTCTCTATCTCTCCCCACTAAAGCATTTAACATAGTTTTACTCATGCTAGATGTTTAACATCTGTTGAATAACGAAAAGATCAAAATCCAAACTTCATCCCCTCCAACTTAATATAGAATCTAAGGATACAACAAACCAATATTAAGTTCTCATTAACCTTTGTTTTCCATAAAGGGGAACTCACATTTAAACTCATAAAGGAATATGAGGGGTAGGTGAAAGTGAGGGTAGTTTATCTTTAGCAACCTTTTCAATTTCTTCTCTAGTTATCCATTTATACCAGTTTTCTAACCTCTTTGTGCTTTGTTAATTTATATTTTCCTTAAAAATAAGCCATTTTTCTTAGATTTTCAAATTTATTGGGCCTAAACTTGAACATTAAATTTTTTATAACTTTAAAGATCTCCATCTCTGTGTGTATAGCCCTTTCTTATTTCATAATGTGCATTTACATTTCAAATAGCTAGGTATTTATCATTTCTTATGTGTTACAAGCTTTAATTCATTAATATTCTTAATTTTCTAAGAATTTTCTAATTCAATATAATTAATTTTCTTCTTATTAACTCCTTGTTCCCACAGTCTTCTGGTTTATTTTGTTCTTTTCCTGGTTTCTTGAGTTGGGTGCTTATTTTCAATCTCTCCTGCTTGTTAATACTATGTAAGGCTATGAGTTTTTCTTTAAATAAGGTTTTGGTCAAACCCCATAGGATTTGATGTAGTCTTCTCTGTTAATTTCTTTAATATATGGGTTATTTAGAAAACAGTTTAAAATGTCCAGGTGCTAGTTTTTTTGGGAGGAGTGGGGGTAGGAAGTTTTTTGTCATTCATTTTGTTTATTGCACAGGATGTGGCCTGTTATGATTTCTATTTTTAAGAATTTATGTTTTTCTTTGTGGTCTGGTATATGATCAATTTTTAAAAGTGTTTCAGAAGCATCAAAAAAAGAATGTTATCTTCTGTTGGGTGCAAATTTCTGTATGTAGTGAGTTCTCTATTGGACTAAGCTAATTATTATTCAAATCCTTTTTGTCCTTGAGATCTGTTTTAAAGGTTCCTGCTAAAAGAGTTTGGTCACATTGTTCTCTTTTTCTAAAAGTTCTCACTTTACATATTTTGATGCAACTTTATGCTCTGAAAGGCTGTTTCCATCTAATCCAACATCCTTCCCCATGACCTCTTGAAGTCCCTTACTTACGGCTCTAAGATCCCAAGATTCTATCTCCACTAATGGGGCCTTGAGAACGCTGACATTCTGGTCTCCTGACTGATGCTCTGCTAGGTAACGCTGCTGAGCTTCTGGGTGGCACAATTGATGGGTTTTGTGTGTTTATGCTTTAGAGACCTTTGGACGTTAGCACCCAGGTAAATGTCCCAAAAGGGTAACAGAGTGAAAGCAGTAACTCTCAAAATCTCTCTTTAATGACTCAGCAGCTTATAATAACAAAGTTATGTTTAAGCAACATCTAATAAAAACCATATTGCGGTGGAAGGGATACTAGGAATCCTGGGTTCTAGCTCTTGCACCCTCTCAATGTGAATTTGGATCCCAATTTCCTCACCAGTAGCACCAGGGGGCTATTTAAAATTCCCTTGGAAGTAGCTTTAATAGCTATGGGCAGGGATTAAAAACATTAACCCAGTGCTTGGGTCTCTGGAACCGAACCAACACTATAGTTTTGTCTCCTTCCATCCACCAGCCTTAGCGATTGCAGATCTAGAGGGAGTCCTGGTGAGTTCGAATTAGCTTGGGAGGAATCAACCAAAAAGGTGGCCGAGCAGCCAGTAACACAGTCTCGGAGTACTCCTCCGGCGTCATCAACTCCTCTCTCCCTACCTCTCCTTCCTCAGCCGCAGCTTCTTTCAAGTCTCCATCTCCGTCCCCGTCAGTTTCTTCCGGGATTCCGTCCGTGTCAGTAGCCCCGGGACCCCCAGGAGCAGCGGCCGTCTCATTGGACTCCCCTGTCTCTCCACCTTTCTCCGTGGGCGACTCGCAGGCATTATCCATCGCCTCCAGAATAAGGGAGAAGAGATCGCGGTGCTGGAACTCTCAGAAGCTCGGGACCGCGCGCGGTACAGCAGTCCCGGAGCTTACTTCCTGTCGTCGCGCTGCCATGACATCACTCCTACCGCTCCTCGGAGGGTCATTTTGAGGCGTTCCTGGAGGACCCCGGGGCTCCGTTTTAATTCTGATTTGATGGCGGTGGGGAGAGGGAAAATTGAGGGTATGGAGTTTAGTTTGTGGATCATCCATCCTGGGAAACCAGCCTTTTTAAAATAAGTGCTGTGTTGTTTATCGAAGGATTTCTTTTTCCTTCCCGCCTTTCTAAAAATGCAATGTCAGTTAACTCCTTCCTTAATCCGCTTTCTTCAGAATCAAGTTTGGGGACGGCAGAAAACTCAATTCCGTAGTACGCGCGTGTCGTGGCACGCGGCTACCAGGTAAACCTTCAGGCAGAGACTGCGGACCTGTGTTTATATACTGAATTGCCAACATTTCTCTTCTGTTCCTCAAGCATCTTAAAAAAAAAGTCATGCAGTTTGAACCGAATTTATCCAATCCATTTATTCACTCCATAACTACTTTGAGAGCCTACTTCGAGCCAGAAACAGTGTTCACCAGAAACAAAAGACATAGTTTATACCCAGTAAAATGGTTTTTCCAATTCACCAGTACTTAAAGGTCAGGGTCTGTTTCACAAACCTGACTTTTCATGTCGATTTGGTTAATACTATAAAAAGTAAGAGGAAACAAATTCTACCGGGAGGGAGAGTCTTTCCTTTGACTTTCACTTTAGGAGCCATTTCAGCGATTGGGAGCATGAAGTGGGGATGTTTCTATTTTAAAATTTTCCTCTCCCCTCATTGAGGTACGGGGCATTTAATTCACCTGTGTGTCACTAGGTCCCCACACTCATTACACATTTAATTTATGCATGCTGAAAGAATGGACTAGGAAATGTAGGTGCGCGTTACCCTATTTCTCTCTTTGTTTCTATACTGCCTGGACGAATTACCGTATTTCCTGTCCTGTGGGCTCCCAAACCTTTGGGGAAGGAGCGCAGTTCGGGAAGCGCACACAGGTGGGCCCTGTTTGTTCCCTTCCCCCTGTACACCGGATGCCCACATGGCGCTTTTCTCTTGTTCCTGGAGGCCTACCTCGGCACAGCCAAGTCCACTTGGTGCAGACCACTGCCACCTGCGCTGACCGCCGAGCCCCGCCCAGCTAGGTGGGTGAGGGGGCGGGGCGCGGGGGCGCGGTGACGCGTGACGCCGGATCCCGGAAGTGACGCGCTCGTGGGGGGGGG